CTTCCTTTCGCCACACCCATACTCTCCCCCGACCACTTACCCTCACCCCCCCTCCTCTCTTTCCCCAGCTGCTCCTCCACCTGTTGTTTTGGGGGCTCTTTTTAATTTGCTTCTAATTCAATTCAAATCGGAGTTTATCCCCTCTTCTCTCATTGATCGAGCGCAATGGAGTTCCTTGTCTTTGATTATCGGCTGTGATTCCCTTCCCGCTGCCAGCCTGGGTTGGGTTCACTAAGTGCGCTCTCACCTGATATTGATCTAGGCTCAATTCATTGCGTCTTCGATAGTCGAAGCGACCCATCAATTAAGTGTATCTGATCCCTCACCCGGCCTTTCTCTCTCCGGTACTCCGTACAATAACTTGGTTTCTGCGTTTCTTATTGCTTGTTCATCCATTTCATTTTTTTTTCCCCTATTAAATCAACCATACACCTTGAGTCTGAATGATTCCCCTTGTCCGATCTGTTGGTCTTAATGACCCCTCACCTCGTATGTCGCTGCAACGGGCTCTGTCGCTGACTTCTGCAGCTTCTCGGCCCTTGGCTTTTAGCATAGACCACCGCGTGTTTTAGCCGTCGCCCCAGGCGCCTTGACATGGGATCAGTCCTCCTCAACCAGCCGCGGTCGGACCACATTGACAGCTCCTACAACATGCTGGGAGGCGCCATCACTCCCTCGGAATCCGTCTATCGACCTTCATCCCATCAAACTTCTCACCCATCATCTCACTTGGACACCGGTAGTTCCAGGTCCACGTCGACCAGTACCACCCCCACTTCCTCCACAGCCCCGCCATCAACATCCGTCGCCGGCTCTGCTCGTCTGCACTCCCACTCTTCGCATGATGTGCCTGCCTATATCAACCGGTCATCTCACACATCATCTCAACTGTCCACGCGAGAATCTTCAGCCACGCCGGGATCGACACACACCCAGCCTCCCTCAATGAGTTCCACCCATGTGCCTTATCCTGACGCTTCCACTTACCCCGCGCTCCATCACTCCCAACATGTGAGTACCAACCAGACTGCTGCAGCGCCGATCACCGGTTCTCACCGGGAGAGTCACTCATCTCCCGCTTCACCTCGGCTGAAGCCGACACACCAGTCTCTGCGGTCACTGGGTGGGTCAGAAGCGAACTCTCCGAGCCGCATCAAGGTCCGTGATCTGTCTCATATCCAGAGCTTTGCCAGCGAAGAGTTCTTGGCCCAGTCGCAGAGGGATCGAATGCCCGGGCAGTGGTGCCAGGAGCGCCAGTATGAGATTAGTTCTATGCCAGTCACCGATATTATTGAAATGGTCGCTGGACTTCTTACGAAAATAACCACGACCAATGACACGCACCATGAGCAGATTCATCGACATATCCCGCCCCCTGATGGCACAGCAAGCCTTAGCCCGCAAGCCACGAGTGTGCTTGCATTCCATGGCAAGAATGTACCGAGCATCAGCATTCTCAGCTATCTGACTCGCATTCATAAGTACTGTCCAACTACTTATGAGGTCTTCCTAAGCCTACTAGTGTACTTTGATCGCATGACCGAACTAGTGAACAAAGGCCAATTGGAGCGTCTCCAGCGGCGCTGGGGACATGTCCGAGCGGACTCCGCCTCTCGGCCAGGGTCTCAGGCGTCGGCAGTGAAACCTGCGCACGACTCGCCCATGGTGACTCCCCCTTCTTCTGCTGGAATGAGAGCGCAGGACCCGACAAGTCCATCTTCTATATCACCGTCTTTGCAACCCCAAGAAGATGACTATCTTTCCCAATTTTTTGTTGTCGATAGTTTTAACATTCACCGGCTGGTCATCGCGGGCGTGACCTGTGCCAGTAAATTCTTTTCCGATGTTTTTTACACTAATTCCCGATACGCGAAGGTATTTTGTTGTCTTCTGAGGTCCCTTTCCTACCAGAGCTAATTTATTCTAGGTGGGAGGTCTTCCGCTGGTTGAGCTGAACCACCTCGAGCTTCAATTCTTACTACTAAACGATTTTCGACTCTCAATACCAGTTGAAGAATTGGAAGCATATGGAACCATGCTTGTCGAATTTTACGCACGGGAGATTGTTGCTCAACAACAGCAACAGCAGCAGATAACATCTCAAACAGAGGTGCCTCGTCCGTTCGGCTCATCTACGGGGACGGACCCTCAATCGGATGCGATGTACATGCGGTCTCACGAGAAGCGTCGCCCCGATCAGCCGGAAATTCGACAGACCCCAACGCCACCGTAACTCTTTGAGTGTCGAAACATTCAACGCTCTCCCCTCTTCCAAGCACGGTTTAGCGACTGTTATTCGATAGGATGATGTCATTTGTGGCTTCTAAGTATCAACGATTGATTGTCTCTCCAGTTGACGTCACATACCCCCACTACTTTTTGTCTGGCGATCTCCTTTAGTGCGCGCATCTTCGGGTCACGACTTGTTCTTCTACTTATAGACTCTTGGCTGCTAGCATGTTGGTATATTATCTGTGTTGATTCTCATGGATCCCGATTATTCTGTGTTTCCGGTACTTATTGTACACAACTCCATTACCTCTGCATATGTTATCTTGACATCGGCCGGTGTTTTCGGGCGTTCTACTGTTGTCTGGGTTATACGGCCGCGAGAATCGTTTCGTCTTTGTAACTTGGTCTGCCTTCTTCATAATCTACTCTGATCAACATTTTCGCATCTATATCTCCCTGTTTCAGATCAAGTCTGAGACCTACGAGTAAGGGTTCTTCTCAACCACGTACTATTTTCCACCGGCAGTAGTTTTCGGTGGACTCACTTAGGGGACCAGCTCGATGCGTGCTCTCCATACACTGTATTATAGCTGACTTTGGAGTTGACAAGACGGTTTAATTGCCTGCTACAGAACGGTGACTGCAGCAGAAACAACGAAGGGCGATTAATCGACAATTTACTATTCAAAGGCCTCAAATTGTGGTCGCCTCTCGACAGGGCTGGCGCTTCGGCTTTCCAACATCCTTTTCTCTATCTTGATTCATTTCTTGTCGTAGGTGGGGTGTTTTCCCATTATTCAATACCTAACGAGCCCACGGATGCTTCACTGGGACCCCTCTTACTCTTTTCAAACGGCTGAAGTTTATTGTCCTAATAGCTTTCGCCCTGTCCATCTCCGGGAGGCTTACAACGGTAAATATGCAGTACCCAGGAAAATAAGACTTTGACGTGGCTGGCCATTGTGACTTGTGCGCAGTCAGCAGTAAAAGCGTCCTTTCTATCCTTCTACAATTGACTCATCATCTCTCGAATTCCTTGCTAACGATCTTGTATTAAGAGATGATAAATTTAGATTCCTCGAAATCCTAAGAGCAGATACCGAGCAACCCAGTTATGCTTGCATCTCAGCATTGCTGGACTGGTTCGAGCACGAAAGTTCAAATAAGATGGTATGGATGTGTTATTCACTCTGTCATAGGCAAGACTTCACGCAGGTTTGGTACAAAGTCCGTGAGCATCTGATTGCAACCTCAGCTTATGCGGCGGCAGTCCATGGTTCAGCTCCCTAAGGCACTTGCTTATGCCCTTTAGGTACAACCCACCCTAGCAAGGTGTGCATATAATATATTGCTTTTGTTACTGCGGATCTCACACAATCTACATATCAACCTGGATGTTGATTCAAATCGAGAACGAGTCGCTCATCTGTATGTTATATCTGCCCAAAAACATCGCAGATTTAGCGGCATTTGACCCTTCGACAGATTCATCCACTATCAAATCTCTGCCTCTCAGGTGGGATTACCTTGAAGACGGTGCAATCTTTGTCGAGTTTGACATTGCGTTGGGTAATTGGTCTCTTAGCCATGTGCCAAGATCACTCGTTTCTAAAGTGTTCAAAAGTGTTGGTGCAGGAGATACTCGATGACACAGGGAAGGTGAGCTCCACTAGACCGCTCATCACTGGGATCGGAGCGTTCTTGTACGGGTTGGATGAAAAGCTCTGAGGTGATCTTGTAGCATTCTTATGGGCTCTGAAGAAGGTTAGCCCGTCAGAGAGAACGAGTCCTATGGATATACGTGCTGAGCCTTGGCTACGTGCAGTTGTGACATACATATCATGCAGAATAACTCTTCTGTCAACAGCTACCGGTGTTCGATTTCGACTCGGGTCAAGAATGGACGAAGTGATACGGTTTGTACCGTCGACTCTGATACAAAAGTCTATTAAAATACCTAATAAGAGAAGCGCAACACCCAGACTGAAGTGTAGCCGAACACTTGCCAATACACAAAGCAGGCTACTTTACATTCAACAGCGCAATCATCACTGCTTTACACAATCGTAGTCCTATACGGAGTACCTCATGACAGAAATCGTCCGCAACCGTCCGGTATACCTCAAGAATGTGGAGTGGGGCGGGCGCTATCAGCCCTGTTTTTAACCCAACCCAACCGGCAACAATGGAATTGATTCCGAAACCAGAAATTAAATTAATTATTCCGGAAGACCCAGCCATTCCATTGGGCCTGTTTACGCCCCCCGGAAAGTATAATGCTTATTCGGAGCACAAGTACATCTGTCATAGGAAAACATACACCCCCTGCCAAGTGCGTTAACTCTACGTTATCTACGACACCAACACTCCTCCTAGGAACAACCAAAGGAATGATTGCTACTTGGGTTATCCAAGTCACAATGTCAGTTCAGCTTCGCCAAAAGTCCCATGCCCAGTCCGGAAAATGCCCCACCGAATACAAATCATGATCCTGCCACAATAAGTCATCCCAAGAAGTAAATCCTGAAAGCGTATAATCCTTTTCCACTTGCAGTACTATCTCTCCTCTACCTAGCAGACCATCGATGCGGTTTGACCAGTCACCAATCCAACCCCATTCGTTTGAGAAAACTATATAAAGCCCTAATCCATGTATCATAATACTCTCGACAACCCTTAAATCACACCCATCCAATATCTTGTCTCAGATCCCTCGTATTATGTACCATACATACTAATATCTTACCTATCTTTATCATTCCTTCAAAATGGTCGGCCAGGCTACTACTATTCTTCTTACTCTCCCCCTTCTTCTCCAGATCCTGCCGGGGGCAGTGGGCCTTCCCGCTCCATCGGAGGATGGGACTCTTTGCAGGAATGGGGCTTGTGGACCAAATACTGACTCCAGAGGACATGATCAATCTGGTGGTCCTAGCTGGGGAAATGACGACGACGACGACGACAATAACAACAATGACGAGGTATGCACTCCAGAAACGGTGACAGTGACAGTGACAGCTATATCCACTGATCATCTTCCTGGGTAAGTTCAGTCGAAGTATATGTACATACCACAAGGAGGCTGGGGGAGAGGGAAATTCATCGAGACTGACACCCACGTTCTATGTGTAGTCCAACAACCACCATTCCCGGTCCCACAAACACAGTAACCATTACAACTAATGGCCCGACTGAAACTTCAACTATAACTGAAGCGTTCACTTCCACTGTAACCGACGCTATCACCAGCAACCAGGTGGTAACAGATACCAAAACGATCACAATTACTGTTACAGATGCCGAGACTCCCACGGCCACCAAAGCTACAGCTACTGCGACCTCCAGTCCGACAAACGGTGCAGACGGTGGCGATGGTCCTGACTACGGGACGTGCTCAGATCCGACTATCCGGTGGGCGGATGGACTCGATGGACGGACGGAGTATTCGTGGATTACGAATAATCAGGATGATTTCCCACATAAGTCGTCGACAACTATTAATACCTTGATGGTTTTCGTTTGTAATCAGCTTCGGAGTCCGTGCAATGCTCCGCAGGCCGTGGTTGATCGATGTTATTCGGCGGCGGGGCAAGTTAGTAATCGTGGGTTGAAGGGGGAGAAGGCTTCGGATTTATGGAATTCGTTGATGACTTGAACGAGTGCCTTTCCTCTTTTACTGTTCCATGTTTCATATTCCTGTTAGTGTGCTGTGTCCTCGGTGGTTATAGAGAGATATAGTCTTTTCCAACTCGGGCTAAATCCGTTGTCAGGTCATAGATATAAAACCCTTTTAATTTGTTTTTACGAGGATCTACGTGCTCAAAACTACGAAAGTAAGATAGAGAAAAAAAAAAAAAAAGGCAAAACAACGTGAATTGGCCCGCCCACCCGCTCCTAAGTGTCAGAGTTTATTATATGACAAGAAGATGTAATACTGCTGATGCAGACAAGAAAACAAAGGGAAAACAAAGGAAAAACAAAGGAAAAACCTGCTCAATCCGAAGATTGAACAGTCAAAACCCCCCATCCACCCAACCCACAACCCCAATCCCGACTCCCCGTCCACCTCCCGTTCCATCCGTTGGTAGTCCGCTGTGTCTTCCCGTCAGCTTATAAAGTTAGAGTTAAGATTAGTAGGGCTGACTTACTCCATAAGGCACGGACCACCGCTACCACTCCACCCACCTTATCCAACTCTTCCCACCTAATCCACCCGACCCCGTGACTTTGACGAAGACACGGGGCACACCTGAAACGACATGCGGTTAGTCGGAGCCAATGCGGAGGGGAATGACGGTACTTGTCTGTCTGTTGTTCGTACTCTTGAATGAACCCTGTGCCTTCGGCAAAGACACAGGGCGCATCTGAAACGACACGCGGTTAGTCAGAGCCAATACTGAGTGAAGACGGCAATACTTATCTTTTCGTCACTACATTACCAAGCCTTGTATTATCGGTTGGAGCCCCTCCATCTAGTCGGTCCGTCGGCGTCGGCGTCGTTCGTCGGGTGTGGCTGGTGCTCCTGGCAAAGGTGTACGACTTAAGCCCCGCGTACGGGTGTGCGTCATTACCCCTGTTAATAGGGAACCCTTAAACCTAGGACGTCCTCTGCTTTTGTCAGCCCTTAATACCCAGAAATAGAAGGCATCGTACGTACCTATTGGGGTATGCAATTGCGCCACCAATATCACAGCAGGACATTACACCAGCATCTGTGAATCATTAGCAGCACCTGGATGGTCTTCAGGAAAGACCAGAGCCAGCCAATCAATGGAAACAAAGGAAAAAAGACAAAAGAGTGGATGACATGCTCTGGGGTAAGGAACGTGGGAAGGTGCGTGGGAATGAACGTGGGAAGGGACGTGGTAAGGAACGTGAGGGAGAGAAAGAGGCAATTAAAGAAAGACTTGGGTTGGGACGGAAGGCTTACAAGTAAAACCTTCCACGCTGCCTCTGTTTCTCTCGCCAAATGTTGAAACCCCTGATAACCATGGCTTCGGTCCACCTGGGATGCTGGAGCTTAATGCTCCGCATAGTATCCCAGGCGCACCCTTGCCGGCCACAGGGGATTCCAACAGGAGGGAGCACCATGAAATCGACGTGGCTGGTGAGCATGTCGTACCTGTCTTTGCCCCACGTCGTGATGTATTTCTCGGTTTCGCCGTCGCAATCGGGTTCTGAAAGAGGGACTACCCTCCAGCCTTGGAGGTAACCGAACCAGGACGGAAAGTGAAAGGAGTGTTCGGACCGGACAATCCAGCGAGAGACAGGGATCACCGTGGTCTCGCCGAAACGAACGCTCTTCACGGGCTTGACCTTACGGCTTGTAGGCACAAGCTTGGTAAGGGCATGCTCGATCCGAGCAATCGCTCTTTGAGCACGGTTAGCCTTGTTTCCCGCTGGATTGACCGGCTTGGTCGGCTTGCGGATGGCGGGCTTGGTGGGCGCTGGCTTGCGGTGGGCGGCCGACGGGTGTCTGGGGGACGCTTTGCGACTAGTCGAGCTGGGCTGAGCCCAGGGTCGGAGTCGGGCCTGTCGAGTCGCCCTTCTTTCCGCGAGGCGGGAAGAAAGGGCCTTTAGCGTAGCCACCACCCCAGTGCGAGCTGGGGCAGCAGTAGAAGGAGTGGCTGGTGCTCTTACCGAGCGAACCGGGAGATGAGAACCCTGGCTCATCTGAGAAAAGGAACGGTCACCGGTCGATGAGGTCGACGAGGTGCAAAAGGAGTGGACGCCGGGCTTCGAGGAGACCGGCAAAAAGGAGCGGGGCGAGACAGGAGGGTTGGCACGGTAGCTGACACTTCGAGGGAATGAACGAAAGGCTGGTTGTGTCGTGAACCGTGCGGAGGGCCTGTCGCGGCGGAAGATAAACCCAGGAATGCAGAGGCGAGCCATCTGTCAAACCTGGTCAAAAAACGGAAAAAAAGGTAGTAGGGGAGAGGCGGAAAAAAGGAGGAAAAGGGGGGATCAAAAAAAGACGCCGCTAAGCGTAAGTAAAACACCAAAGGTGAATGACAAGCGTATAGTGCAAATAGCAGGATACTAGCATCAGACGACCATGAGGTGTTGGAGAGAAGAAGAGAAGAAGAGAAGAAGAGGAAGAGAGAAAGAAGGAAAAGAGAAATGGGCTGGGGGAGGAGGGAGAGGGAGAGAGTGCGTGTTGCTACCGAATGGCAACTGCCACTGCAACCACTTTCCAAGGTATTGTTTACTTGAACTACCATAAGGAAGGTGCTCAGAGGGTGACTTCGCTGAGCATTAAGAAGGAGAGGCTGTAAGATGGGAAAGCTTGACACCAGCTTCCTTCTATATAGAACCCAGCACTCGGCCTAGCAGTAGCACTATAACAACTTGATATTGTCCTGTCTGCAGCTATACTGCGATTTAGTTAGATTCCGCACTTGCATACATTCCATGGCTACTAGTAGTAGTACCTTAAAATACATATTTCCACTTCAATATGCCGAGTAGGGCTGATATCAGGTAGTACCGATGTATGAGCCATACACCGAGATTAGCCTCAGTGCCTATGCCATCCTTCCCGTTGGGTAATCCCCATGGAAACACTCGTGACCGTTTCCCTTTTTAGGTCTTCTCCTTCCTTCCCCCAATCGCCATTATCATTCGTCAACGTCGTCACTGCTGTTTCCCTGACCATAAGAGCATGAACCGGGCAAATGCTGGGTGGGAGCCCCGCTCTAAGCTGCCCAAGGATCTCAGTCTTTGGAAGAGTTATCGACACTCCACCAACGATGAACTCGATCTAACATTCTCCACAATAGGCTGGGCCAGGTTCACGACAACACCTCCACCGAAGCCCCTGCCCGCGCCACTGCCTCTTGAGAGCGTCCAAGACGACGAGCAGGAGCCCATCCCAAGCCCTGAAGAGGGCCCGCAAACTTGACGCTCCCCTCCGTGCCCCCGATCTTGAAAAAGACTCTGCGACATCAATTATCCCTCTTCTCGAGACCCTGAAATGTGCATGCGGCCCTTGTTGTCAGGTGTAGATGACAGCCGAGTCTCCGACGACAAGCTCGCATCTCATTGTGGCGATCAACCATTTACTAAACTGCTTCTATCAATTGTCGCGATTATGACTATCGACCCGACCTAGGTTGGGTGATAGTGATAGGTCGGGGACAATAGCAGGTATGTATATCCTCATAATCCAGACCTCGGCTGGGTAGGATGGGAGGGGTCTGGGGTATCTTACTACTCTAGCTACCAACTACAACAACGCCGGGGGCCTGGGATATATACAGTTAATCCTTTTGCCTCACAGGTAAAGGTCTGACTTATATATATGTTAAAGATGGATCACTGACGCTGACTATTCTTGAGATCAAATCAACATTTACTACGCCGCGGGACACTACTGGGCTATGTCGGTGTGGTCGAATCATACTACTGAACAGAGAAGAACCAATAAGCTTCTAATGAGAAGACATTTATAGTATTTAATCTATTCAAGTAGGGGTGCCGGATCAAAGGGGTCACGGCTACAGTTATGAGATGATATGTTACCCTTTCCTCAAGTCTCATAGCTATATATACCGATAAAACCATGACGAGCTCCTTTTTTGAACCACCTATGTTTCCTTCACCAAAAAGTTAGAGCTTTGATTAGCTTGACGTTGCAAGTGATGAATTTCCACATCCGAGTGACTATATATACGTGCGTTGGCACAGCTGCAACTTATCAATACCTCGAGAATGAATTAATGAGCTACGACTGTCTGAGTCGCGATTGAAACAAAGAAAAAGCGATTTGAAGCCCTTGATCATTACAACGGAATATAGTTCCTTTGATCCAGGTTTGTCTCTATGTACTTATCTCTGAACTAACCCTGTTTCAAAGCTAAAGGCGAGGCGCCACCGCTTGAAGAACCTTTACAGAGTGCCTCATTTCTGTTGAAGATCACTCCGTGAGTGACATGCTTCAATACCCGAAAACACAACACTGAATATTCTGCCGCTGAACATATAGTTCACCGATTGATACATGGAAACATTCAACACGTCGGATAATCTGGTATTTTGCGAAGGTTTAACAACAGGTAGCGACTTCGAGAAAGTTATAGCCCACAATGGACGGCCGGCACCATTGATCTCTTCTCGGAACTATAGAACCTCGACTGTTGTATTGAAACTCGCTGCTAATCTATGCAAGCATAGATGAACATCCAGGGTAAGGGCCTACGTAGGGAATTATCAAGACAGGGAAGTGTACCTACTCCAGAAACTAAAGTTGTTTCTTTTGGGCGGTCTCTGATTAACATGAAGAGCCTCGGTTCATCCTCCGCTTCAACCTTCAGTTGGTTCAGCGATTTTGCATAGTAGAAAGCAGTGCACACATCTCTCCGAATAAGATAGAGACTCCCTGTCTAATGGTAGATTGATATACTTGCATAATCATGTGAGGATATGCACCCTAATGATAGCCCTTTACGGTTGCGGTCTATACGCTGACCCCAGGATGAAAGTGCTAGGAAGGCTAAAATCACAAATAGTGTTCAGTGTTGTAAGTAAACCTTCTGCTGGGAGCTTGGCCACTAACTTAATTTCTGCGTCTTCGGGAAGTCCACAGACGACAAATAGCCTTGGAATAGGCCTTTGGCCGTGTAAAATTGGCCTGCCTGTGTCTGTACGTTTGAACAAAAATGCCAAGTGCAATACATTGTGTGCCAATGCAGAGAACCAAGCTTAGTCGGGCCGTACTCCGTAAAAGGACAATGGTCTTCTTCTAGAGATGGGTCGATAAGTATTTTCTTGGGCTGCTTGACATACAGAGGATTGAACAAAACGGGCGGTTTTGGACCCATGTAAGCATCCACGAAGTCCAAGCTCTCGAAATCGTATCGGGCTAATTAGGTGCTCAGCGTGCTCAGGTCTTCAATATTGCCGTCTTTCGTGATTTTGATGCATTCATTTCTTATCAGAACTTCCCAGCAGGAATTCAGTCGCTCCCGAGCAAATCGACCACGTCCGCTCTCAAACGTTTTTTCGATGTCTCCTCGATATGATTAGGGATTAGATATGGTATAGGTATAGGAATGGCTAGGTAAGGATTTACTCCTGGAAGCAATAATTATGATAGGGAAGAGGGCGATGAACATGAAAGATTTAGATATTTTCGTATCAGCATGACAGAAGTTCGCTATCCGGAACACAATCTCACGAGCATTCAACTACTTATACATGCTCATAAGACATGTTTCCCCTTCTAGATGCCTTTAGATATGTGATCTGATGTGGCTGGAGCCTTGTGATAGCTGCCCTATAAGTTACTTCAATCTGTTGCAGATCTGCTTCGATTTAGAAGGCTATCGGTTATCTATTATGTCAAATGTTTCACGGGGTACCCTGCTTATAGTTCTAGATTTGAATGGTTGATATCGTATGGATTAGGGCGCTGTCTTCGAGCTGAATCGTGCGGATGGGAGAGTTAGCAGGATCCAATCACTAGGAAGCTAATCTGGGGGAGAGCTTTGGTCCTGAGAGCGCTAGCTACGATGACCCCATCCACGGTCACCGGTGTGGAGCGCATCCGTTCCATTATCGAGACGGTTTGGCAGTCGCAAGACTACAGTCAAACCCCCGGTTCGTCCCGATGGCAATCCTCTGCTTTCGTAGGATAAAGCGATTTCAACGCCTACCTGCCTTGGTATATCAGCTCGATAAGGTCAATTGTACATTCAGAGGCAATCGTATCTTCTCCCCTCTGAAATCGCGGCCCTCAATCGCGATGGATGTGCGACTGCATTTCCGAGCAAAGTTGTCTTCCGAGAAGATCTGGAGTATATGCTTTATAATCTCCGATTGAGTTTTAATCACAAGCATTCAATATTGCAGATTCTGGTATTTAAGGGCTCCGGCATTGTTGCTGCTCATTACGATATGGATCTGAACAACGAGTGAAGCCTTCTATCTCTTTCTGACATCTGCTCACGGTCCTTATCGACGTGGGGCTTGGGGAGGATGATTTTGTATTGCTCGATATATAATATACGTATCACGAGGCATCGTTGCTCTGGTTCTGGGGATCAATTTTCGTTGCAATGCCATGAAAACGATGATCGATGGAATTACCTTAATACCTACTCCTGCACACTCATTGTACCTCACGTGAAACTCGTCAAATAGGGTGGACAGTGGGTAGTCAAAAGGACATTCGACTACTACTTACGTACTACCCAGGGCGCCCTTGCATGAAACCCCCTAAAAACGGCGGGCCCCGTCATAAGACCCATCGACTACGATTGTCATAGACTTATTGCACAGAATATACGCAGATTACTGAATAGTAAGGGTTTTATCCAATATATTAAATAGACCCATTTCCCATAAGAAGCCATCCTAAATACTGCCAAGGCTCATGATCGTTGCTGTATTTAGAAATCGACCGTTTTAGGACGATCTCCTTCAAGTTGGGATTCGAGAAGAACTATATCGTTCGAAGGTGTCCACCTCAGGGCCGCCTTCCCACTGTTCGAGGGCCTTACATTTCGATTAATTTCCCATCTTGATGCTCGTTGGTATTGCATATGTGGAACGCTTCTCAGCTCTACATCAAGTCCTAGTTTATGATTATGTTCTTGTATATCCGAGACGAATGTCCAGACAAAATTAAAAAAGGAGGTGTGATATCTAGGCGAATACTACGTATCATTGTGTTTCCTGGTGTTTCACTGGTGCTGTACTTGGGACTACAGCTGTGTATACTATTGTGGTTCGTGTGAGGTTAATCGGGGTGGGAACTAGGGTGGAAGCGTGTTGTGGGGATTATTGCTTTTCGATGCAACTATATATTTTAGTACTAGTAGTCAGGGGTTTGGAATGTGTCATGTCATGCATTGTTTACGGGGTAGGCAGTCACTCAGGAAAAGTTTGTACGTACAAGTAACCAGCATAGACGTCTCAATACCTGTAAGAGAAGGTCAAAAAAACCAAGAAAGAAAACAAAACAAAAAAGGGGAAAGCCAGAAGAATCTCCAAGTGGTTGCAGCTATTACGTTCGTGTAGCATTGTCTAGAAAGCAAAAACAATGAGATTCCCTTTTAAGCAATAGCCTCT